ATTCTGTGCTGGTGTGCTGTTGTGCACAGACAGGGTTGTGTTGGACGATGTGTGAAAGCTGGACTCATCATTCCCCTCGAGGCCTCTTCTGTCCCCACCTCACAGGGTAAGAACAAGCAACGCAGGCAGAAACTCAATCTTGAATGGAGAAGAGTATACCTAACAATGCTGTACCCAGTGAAGTTGTCATTTACATGTGAGGAAGACAGAAAGATATTCTCTTATTTCAAGATCATGGACAGGATTCAACTCTTATTCTTACTAATGTAACCTGACTGCTGGAGGATTGAACCAGTGATGAACATAAGAATAGACAATTTATGGTATCACAGGACTCCTGGTCATCAGAGAAAGCTGTTAAATTAGAGTATCTCAATTATTGTTAACGTAACGGCAAAGCTTAATGTAAATGTGAAAATTAGTCTAAAAGGTACAAATCATAGAAAATCTAAAGATAATAATATTAGCTGAAGATGACAAACAACCAACCAAAATGTAAAAATGGAAACTGTGAGGTATGGAAATGAAAGGTGGGCAAAATTCCTTATATGTGGAGGGGCTTACCAGACTCAAATAATTAGAAAGAAATATTTTTAGAGAAATCTAAAAGTGCTGCCTTAAATTAAAATAGGATGTATATCTTTCTCATTACTGGAGAAAAATATATTTATTAAAAAACTATCAGAAATACAAGGAGAATGTGGAAGGATAAATTTAGAGTAGCAATTATACATATAATACGTTAAATCATAGGGTCAAAAAGATACATTAAATAATGCATTTAAAGCATTACTCATGGAACACAGACAAAACTCCAATGTATTAATTCACAAAAAACTTAAATTCCAAAAGACAGATATTCTGCAGGACACCTTTTTGAATCCAATGCAATGAACTAGAATAAATAATTAACTAATACCCAGGCATCTCAAAATTTTAGGATATTCTCTTCGGAACAAAGGGAAGACAAAATTAGAAATATGGCTATTCAGAAAGTTGCAACAAAGCAGGGCTTGGAGGGGGAGAACCACAAATATATTAGAAATTTTAGATATACTGTGTAGCATCTGTGCTAGAACATTTAAAATATCAATGAAATGCATGAGTTTTCTAGAAAAATACAAATGATATTGAGAAATAAGGAACGAACCTAAGGTTTCTGATTGGCAATCTGATGGATGATGGCTATTCACTCAAAGCTGGGTGAGCTTGGGGTATCTGGGGTGGGTGGAGTCTATGGGCCATCCCTGTGGAAATTCCCAGCCAATACCTGGACAGATAAGGTAGAATCGCTGGCAAGCTATCTGGACTGGAGATAAAGATTTGTGATAGTCAGCATGACATGGAAATCGTAGGGGCACTGATGAGGTTGATGAGGGAGAATATAGAGCCAAACAGAAGACTGGCTTGGCAACGGGCATGAGGAGCAGCAGTGTCTACAAGATGGAGGAAGAGCGGTCCTCAAAGTGGGCTAAGACGACGTGGCTGGGGAGGTAGGAGTGAAACAGGGCAGTGCACATTTAGGAAAGGTGATGGGTGGAAGAATTTCCAGCAGGAGAGTATTTCCAGTGTCATAACTTGCATTTATGATAAGAATGGAAAAATTCTGGGGCGCCTGGGTGACTCCATCGGAAAAGTGACTGACTCTTGGTTTTGGCTCAGGTCATGAACTCAGGGTCATGGGATTGAGCCCCAAGTCAGGCTCCACTCTCAGTGGAGAGTCTGCTTGGGATTCTCTCTCTCCCTCTCCCTCTGCTCTTCCCCACTTCCCCCTCTCTCAAATAAATAAATCTTAAAAAAAAAAAGGGAAAGTTCCTCTTGGTTCGGCTAAAATGTTACTGGTGACTTTGACAAGAGAAATTTCACAGACTTCTTTCAAACTTTTAGTCAAGAGATAATATCCATGCTGTGTAAGTGTCATAGAGCATAGGATAAAATATAGAAAGCTTCTCAATTTATTTTTCAAAGCTGGTATAAAATAATAATCAACCAGAAGCTGGCCAATACCATGCACACAATCCCAATTATTAATATGGGCACATAAACTCCGAGCAAGAGCAAGAGTAACCGATACTTGTTGAGTGCTCAGTAGGTGCTAGGCACTATTCTCAGTAACTTAATTGGTTTGATCCTCACAGCAGGAATTTAAGAAAATATTAACAAGTTGTATTCAGAAATATACTGAAGCTCTTCAGTGAAGACATAAATGTTATTAAAGAGCCTGTTTTAGGGACTGCAAAAAAAAAAAAAACAAAAACAAAAAAACAAAACAAAACAAAAAACAGAAATATACTAAGCAAATGATATACCACATCTGTGACTAAAAGTTTAATTGTGAATATTGGGAAATCTATTATAAAATATAAGTTGGTTAAATGAGAAAATTTATGACTGGAATTTCCTAAAATTCTAACAAGTCCTGGTAAAAACCCTTATTGAAGCATGAGAACTAATTTGATGGTGAAATGTTAGCGTTATTCCCATTCAGAGAAAAACAAGTAAGAATATTCACCATCATTCTCATTTTTAGACAGTTTGGGACATTTTAGCCAACACAAGAATGAGATTAAAGAACTAAATGGAATTAATATACAGACAAAATATGTAGATGCTGTGAATGTATGATCCTAAGAATGAGCAGTAATAATTAATGACATCTGTCAGGGGTTTCGTTACAAAATAACAGATAGCTACCATTGGTTAAGAACTTTGCTGCACCAAGAACTGTGTTGAGGACATTATATCAATGGTTTCATTTAATTTTGACAGCAAACCCATGAGATGGATTTTAAACATAAGCTTACAGAAATTAATAGTGGAGCTGGAATTCACACCCAAGATCTATTTGATGCTAAAGCTGATTCTTTTAATGACTCTGCCACATGCCACCACGCACTCCCCTCACACGCTGCCTGAATGGACATATAAAAACCAAAAGGGCTTCTAGACACTAGTAAAACTCTTAGAAAATATGATGAGGGAGTAATCATATTTACAAGAAAGACGATAAAAAGTGAAATACATAGCAAGAAAACAAAAATGAAATATAAAAAACTTATTACCTAGATGATAAGCAGTACACATTTTACTGGTGGAGCTAAAGGAGAAGAATTCATATATGTTTGTATACGTATATGCAAATACACACACGTATTTTGTGTGTGCGCGCGTGTGTGTGTGTGAGCATGCATGTGTACTTATGGAATTGGGATGGTCTTTCTACATATAATATCTAAGGACAAATTGGGATATGATATTGTAACATGGTGACAGAGCATTAAAAATATTAATATGTAAAGTGTTTTTACAAGTAAAAAAATAAAATGACTAATCCCCAATAGAAGAGTGCAGAAAGTATCAACAAGCATTTCATAAAAGAAAAAATTAAAATGATCAGCAAGTGAAAGAAAAACTCTTCAATCTCACTGATGAATAATCATATAGAAGTGACCACATGCATTGCTGGCGGCAGTATGAATTTGTACATTCTTCTGAGAAGCGTTCAACGGGATGTGTGTTAGTCCTTAAGTATAAATCATAGTTTTTGGTCCAGTAATTCTGGTTCTTGGAATTTTCCAATTGAAATCATTAAAGCTGTACACAGCGGATAATTATTGCTCTGATTTTTATAATAGTGAGAAATTAAGGATCACGTTAAATGCCAAGCATTAGGAGTCATTTAAATAAATTGTAGACCATGTCATGGAAAAATATGCAGGAATTTTAAATAATGTTATAAAAGAATAATTAATAACCTGGGGAAAAGTTTGATATATTGTTAAGTTGATAAAAAATAGGTTATGTAACAGTGTGAATAAGATGTCTCTGAATAATTTTAAGTATGTGTGTGTGTTTAAATCTGGAAGGATATAAGCAAAAATGTTAACCCAGATCGTCTCTGAAATGGTGAGGTTATGGATGGTTGTATTTTTCCTTCCACATTTAAATTTTTTTATAATTCTTTTAAACAAAAGGTGTTGCTTTGATACTTAGAATAACAGCAACAAATATTCACAAAACATATGTGCAAAAAAGGAAGATTAAAAAGGAAGTACACCCTCCTGTGTTTACCGCTGCCTAATGGGAGTGCAGGTGGTTATTATTTTATTCTTTGCATCTTTTTTCTTTACTTTGATCATGCATTAATTATGAAACTATAACATTTAAACAACAGACTTTTAAGAAGTCAAGGAAGAGAGGAAAGAGAAAGGAGAAGGGACTCAACTCCAGAAACTCTTCAGCACAGTAGAAATGCTGAGCTAGGTCATGCATTCACTCCCTCCCTCCCTCATTTTACAATTGCGGACGCTAAGCGCTAAGTGCCTATTATGTGCCAGGCACTGTCTTCCCCAATGAGAACACAGTGGCAAAACCAAGCAAGTATGCGTCCTGATTCTATGACACTTTCAGCATATGGTGGAGCCTGACATCAAATGAATGTACATGTAGGAAACGGTAATTGCAAATTCTGAAAGTGTATTATGCATAAGAACAGGGCTTTATGAGAATAAACTCACAGAAGGTTTGTATATGTATGAATGTAAATATTTGAGAGAATAAGAAAAAGTGATAATTAGGAGAATGACTAGATGATAAAGGTATACTTGCGAAAGAGAAGGGGGAAGAAGGAAAAGCATGTAAGGGTAGTTTATTGTCTTCATAAAAAACTGGGATATGGGTGATTGTGTAATATTTCTGATTCTTTGAGAGTGAGCAGAGAATTGTAAGTTGTGTGCACTTAGGGCAGAAATAATAAAATAAGTGTAATCATCCTGACATTTTGAAATAGCATTCTAGTGCAAAGACATTAAACTACTATGAATTCCAAACTTATAAATGTGAATTAACCAATGTCACCTTTATCCTTAACTAATTGTATCCATTATGTATCAATTCTCAGATAATACCAGCAGCACCTTTCTATTGCGGGTGGAAGACTTAATTAGAGGCTTTGTTTATGGCCATGAAACACACTCAAAAAGAGGACTTTTATTTTTCAGCATTAAATGAACCCACCATAGACTATGGCTTTCAGAGACTGCAGAAGGTCATCCCAAGGCATCCTGGAGACCCAGAGAGATTAGCTAAGGTAAAAAAAAAAACACTTTGGAAATTGACAGGTGAAAACCTTATTATGGGATTTCAGCAAACTTAGATAAATCCTGCAAATTAAGTCCCTTTAAAATTACATTAGGCCCTGAAATTTGGCTAAGCTTTAGATACACATAAAATATCTCCTAACTCTGAGATATATTGTGATTAATATCCGAGGGAATAGGAAATCTGAAAAGTTGGTCCTATAAAACAGATACACTAGAAGTATCCAGCTTATGAAACATTGCCAAATTTATGAAAATAAATAATTGCATAATGGCTTAAAAATGTAAGTTCCCATGCCTTTGTATTTGAATATAATTTTATTCGTCTGTAATTGCTGGGACATGTTAATCCACAGTCAAGTATTCATCAAGGGACTACCCGGTATATAGGTATTTAGTGAAGTGAAAAATGCCTCAATAGAAAATTTCTATGAAATGTTTTGCTTTTAAGTGAATTTGCTTATGACAATTATATCATGAATCTGGCCCGTTATTCTAGCTTTCTTCACTGAAAAATACATTAATTTATTAGGTATTCAATTAGTGAGACATTATTAAATTTTAACATCTACATTTGCATTTTGAGCACACACATTATCATATGCCGGTTCTCTTTTCTGTTCTGTGAGTAAAATTCAAGTATCACATTTGCTTCTGCATCACACCTTTATTTTCCTCTTGGAAAAATCCCCAGCCCCACCATTAAATTAGATGATATCTGGAAAGTAGGTTAATAGCAATTTAAAAGGCTGTTAAAAACAGGAGGTGGAAAAGACAAAATGAGACGAAAGGGATTACTGATGACTAATTCTCTCTGGTTAAAGTGAACAGGGGGAAATATTATTGAAAGAATTCATCTTTATTAGAATAAAATTTTGCAGAAGGCACTGCCAAGATAATTTCAGTATTACGAACAACTCCTTGGCAAGCAGCTAAACTCAGGTCAGTCAATCATTCTAAGAATTTTTGGCTAATTAGAGTCCCAGATTGTTTAATGGAATGGTCTGAAAGTTTTTAATAGCACTTCCATGACATTAGTAATTGTAACCAACTCCACCTATTTTGGTGGCGCAATCATGGAAGGAACCATTTTATCTTGATGAATTCCATGTCGATACATATTAGAGAGGGATTTATTCTGCCTGTCAAACCAAATATAGGACCTCATAGCCAGTTATTTATACTTTAGGGAGGATGTCTGCTCTTTTTATTTTATACATAATTTTCCTTTGAGTTGGCCATTTGGGGGTCTTACCTTTGCCTATACCTCATCCTTTCTGCTCTTTTTCTAGGAGATGCTATTGAAAAGAGCTGCAGATCTAGTGGAGGCCCTCTATGGCACACCACACAATAACCAGGTTAGGTGCTCCCATCTTACACTCTGTTGAGTTTGACTCTTCGTGCTGGATAAAATGCTCACCTCAACCTGCCATTTTGTAGGACATCATTCTGAAGCGAGCCGCAGACATTGCGGAAGCCCTGTACAGCGTCCCTAGGAATCCCAGCCAGATCCCAGCTCTCTCCAGCTCCCCAGCTCACAGTGGCATGATGGGCATCAACTCGTATGGCAGCCAGCTTGGGGTCAGCATCTCGGAGTCAACACAGGGAAATAACCAAGGTACTACTCTTTCTCAGAGTCAAAATTCCAAACGTCTTATCCATTTACAAGGGTGGTTTTGCTTGAGCGGAGGGAGGTAAAGCTTGATTCGTATACCATCAAAAAAGAGTGTCCCCAGATAAGCTGTGCAATCATATATTGGATTATCCCAACATGATCGGTGGTGTTTTGTGAGATTTGGGGCTTTTTAGGTCCCAGGTAGAATCCCTTTGATTGCAAATATTTAAGGTTATGATGAACTGTGACTTACTTAGAAAGGTTTTGACTTCCTGACTTACAGGTATAATTTGACTAAAATGTGCACTTTTGCTATTGTGATTATCAGCCGAGGCAGAGTGGTTTGGTTTCCTTTAGTGACTTCTGTGTGTGTATTGTCTCATATGCAAACGCAGAGCAACACACTTTCAGTTAACTGTGCTTTTCACACGTGAAGTATATCGCGTAAAGATTTTTGTCTCTGAGGTTGATTTTATTAAGGTGCTAAGCTGATCACGAATCGTTTTTTTTTAAAGGAATAAATTTCCTAAGGATGCCCCTAACCTTAGTTTTATTTCCAATTTCATTCATCCATTGGAAGGGAATTCTTCATTCTCATGCCCAGGGTGAGTTTTTCTTACAGAAGGGTGGGTGCGGACATATGATTGCTTTTTTTTTTTTTTCTTCAAATTGAGGTCATTTCTTAAATAGCTTTAGAGACTGTTATCCAAAGCGGGTTATTTCAGGATGGGTTAAGTGACGTCTCTGTGCTGGGGTTTCAGAAGTATGGGAAGGACTTGTCCCTTCTCCATCCCTCCCACAGACCAGATCTCTCTGCGCTCAATTGCTGATGCTTCCACATCTTTGGCCAAAGAATAGCACATTTAGATGAACTTAACAACAATTTTTAAATAAAGATGTTCCCCACCCCCACTCAGGGCATGGTAAAAACCTTGAACTAACATTTCCAAAGGTATGATCTGCAGGGTATGAGTGGCCCTTGGGATGTTATTAGGATGCCTTTTGCCCACCATTCCCAGCAAAGAGACTGTGGTGTGCTAAATTTGGGAAACACTAGGTTAGCAAAGTTAAACTGGTTTGTTTATTCTCTAGGTCCCATGTAAGTGAATCTTCAAGGAATGGCTACAGTCCACAACATCTGCCAGGCTTTACTTGACCACAGAACACTTGCCTCAGTGATAGCCATTAAGATCTCATAGGGCTCTCATGTGTTAGGAAGATTAGTCATCACTCCTTGGTGTGAGCTGGAGATGTTGACTGCAAAAGGGAACAAAGAGGAAAGAGGGACTGTCAGGGACATGGCCTTGTGTAGGATGGGGAAGGGAGAGGAGGATATAAAGGCTGAAGACAAACTTAAGACTTTCCACCTGCCCAGGAGTGGCTTGGTGGTGTTCTATAGTCTGGGGACCATGTGGGCCCATGCCACCGTATTTGGCCTGTGACTGGATGTGTGTGCCAGTTCATTTATATGCGCTTTTTCCTTGTTGTCCAGGCTACATCCGCAACACAAGCAGCATCTCTCCGCGAGGCTACTCTTCCAGCTCCACCCCTCAGCAGTCTAACTACAGCACCTCCAGTAACAGCATGAATGGCTACAGCAACGTCCCCATGGCCAACCTGGGCGTCCCAGGGTCACCAGGATTTCTAAACGGCTCCCCCACAGGCTCCCCTTATGGAAGTAAGTGCCCTTTCCGTCTGTCTGGCTCTCTCTGTGTCTCTGTCCCTGGGTTTTACTCTTCAGCCTTTTGAGGGAGAGTTACACCCCTACATCTTACTGATTCGTGGAGGAGTAGCCCAATTTCCCGAGGAAATGTCCATCCTGCCTTTTGTTCTTTTCCCTTAGCTAGACTTTGGTGCACTTAGTTGCTCAAAGCGTTCTGAAGGAAAGAAAAGGAGTGAAACTATTTGCTTTGTACAAAGAAAGGGTAGATGTATGTGGCAGGTGTGGATGGGGCTGAGGAACGAAGATTCCATCTCAGTTAACATTATGCATGCTCTTCATTAGGCACTTTCAGATATAATATTTTCTTTAATCCTCATAAGAACTTTCTCCTTGTTGTGGATGAGGCGGTTGAGGTGCACAGAGTTAACTCATCCAAGATCACACCGCTAGGATAGAGCAGGGCCATCATTTGAACACAGTTTGTGGCTTGGTTATTTTGTGTCACACCACGCTCCTGTGTCCCTTTGTTACATGACCCTCCCTTCCTTGTGTACCTTCTGAGAGATGGAATTTAGCTGCTCATGAGAGAGTGATCTGAGATGGACTTCTTAATCCTAATCTGGGCTAGCTAGATATCCTACGGGTTTGTGAAAACTCATTTGGGTTGCTCTGAGGGCTAAGAAGCCTGAGAGAATATGTGTCTTCAAAACTACCTAGGGAACACTTCAGGCCCGGGGAGAAGCCACCATGGAGAGTCTGTGTGAGTGGGTGGAATGTTCTTGAAATGCTGGCTCCCATTGCCAAGGCTCTAGAGCCGACCCTCTGTTCACCCAGGGTGGTTCCCTCATGCCAAGAACAAGAGCAAGTCAAGGACAGCACACAGCCGTTTCCACCACAGCTCAGGGAGTGATACGCCAAGGATCTGGAAGCTGCCTTTCTCAGCCTTGTTGGTTCTCTAGGGACACACACCCATGAGTTAATTCTGGGTTGTCTATTCACTTCATTACCCTCAAGAGTCTACTCAGTGTGATAAGGACATAGTAACCAAGTAGCAGAGGTATTAGAGGCTGGTTCTTCTGCTAAAACTAAAATCTTGTTGCTGCAAAGACATGAGTTCTGTGTTGTGTCATGTCAGATGGCCCAGATCAATTAGATCCAGAGTGGTCTAGATGAATAAACTGGTGCTTGCTCGATTTATTTCTTTACTTGTTTTTACCTTATCTTGTTCTGAAAATGTTTTGGGAGATATTAATAGGGAGATAAGTGTTATGAAAGTATAAAATAACAGCTATGAGAAACTGAGATAAAAGAAAAAAATATGGATAGGAAAATTAGATGAATCCAAGGACTAGTCTGGAGGCCTTCAGTCTATTCAAGGGAGCCATCCACTTGTTTCAGAGGCTTACAAGATGGGAAAGCAAAGAGAGAAATACTACTTGTTGTAAGATTTTATGTCTATACAGTTTTGGGGGGATAGCTCAGGAGAAACATGATTTTTCTGTTGCTGAGACCTTGGAGAGACTTCTCCCATGCATCACTGTGGAGAGGGTGCCCCGTGTGTAGAAGGGACCACATCTTCACGTCTTCAACAAGTAACACGAGGGCAGGTGAGCTACTGTGTAAAGGATGTCACATAATGATAGTGACAACAAGAAGAGTAACTCACAACCGCATTCCACTTTGCAGCCTAAAAAGCATGTTCAAATATAGAGTCACAACAACCTTATGCCATGGCTATAATCATAATTATTACTATCATTTTCCCTTATAAGATATGAAGAGTTAGTATGATTTACTCAAGGATTCATAAATAGTAAAATTACGACTCGAAATATGTCATCAGATTCAGAATACCATGTTCTAAAATTATTCAATAATTTAAGAAATATTTCATGTTTTTATAATATATAATTAGGCTGAACACTATAGAATTACTTTTTTTTGTTTCTCCAAATGGTAATTTCACATGTTCAACATACTTTTATGAATAAAAATCTGTGTATGAGATTGAGCCATACAAATTGTCATTTTTGTAGATCAAAAATGGTCAATATAATAATACAGTGTATAGTGTGGTGAGGAGGGAGAGAGAGCAAAAGAAAGACAGGGAGGGGTGAGAGAGAGAGAGAGACAGAGATAGAGAGACAGAGAGAGATAGAGAGACAGACACAGAGAGAGGATGAACAGATATATGAATATGTCCACTGGGTAACTGCTTGATGTTTCTTACGAGATAATTCCTTTGGTAGGGAGGGGACCTTCCCACTCCAGCAAGTGACAGCTTCCTTCCACTAGTCTTTCTCGATCATCCAGTCCCACTGCCATAAGGAAAATGATAGCACCCAAATCTTCAAATCACCCATTAAAACAAGACAACATATGCAGAATAGAAAGAGGCGCCCTGCCCAACAGGAGGGGGAAACACAGCAGAGAACCCACTCCTTGCTTCTACTGGGTCCGTGTGATCTCTTCCACCTTTATTTTCTGAAGGAGGGTCTGAAGAAGTCATAAACTGGGAATGGATTCCAAACAGTGCCTTCATTATGATAAAATCCCCTACTGCAAAAATACTGACTACCCCACAGAGTTCATTATAATAGCATCTGACCTGTATTTCTAGCCAGCTAAGTCTTAACTTCTCTGGGAAATAACAAAAAACAGCCCAGGGGAAACCATTTTGTCAGTTCTGTTGCTTGTGTCTAAAAACACCAGTCTACGATCTTGCCTTGTCTTTTTCAAGCTAGTCTGATGCGGCCAGGCCGTGCCACGGAGCAATCACTTGCCAGAGTCATTCAGAAGAAATAAAAGCCAAGCCTCTCAGTCAAGTTGATTTGCATCACAGTCATTCTGATGCAGAGTATCAGAAACCTGCATCTTTACTGCTTTTGCTCTCACACTACTTCAAAAAAGGCCAAACAGATGTTTTTTCAATTTCACATACAAACTTCACTTCCTGGAGGTAGCAGTGTGTGCCAAGTTCCAGCTCAGTGCAAATTTTTATGGCTGAATTCTAAACCCCTGACAATAGGGGGTTACAGTGAAATGCTGACAGACCCCTTAGCGCCAACAAACGCAATGGCTCAGTGCAAAGGAGGATATGGTGCCCGGTGAGTTCCAACTGGGACTGTGCAAGCCAGTCAATCCTTATAAGAAGAAAAGTGGTTTTTCCTTAACTCCCCATGTTCACAGAGATTTGGGGGCCAGACGTATTTGCCTTTTCTTTGGCCTCTATCCGTAGAAAGAGAGAGATGTCCAGAGAAATTCTCAGTTGCAAGGATATGTGATCAGCTTTCCTAAAATGGTGTGCTCTGGTGTCCCCAAAGATGGTCTACTCGACAAGCTTGCAACACTCATGGGACCACTTCTTCCAAAGCAGAATCGCCACCAAGCAATTCCAAATTTGGGACAGAATCTGTACAGAAATCCAACCTGTGTTCAGGGATTCCTACTTCATTTACATCGTCTTAGACTATGCCCTGGGGTGCAATATTTTTATATTTTCAAAAATAAGTATCAAGACATTTACTCTATTGTAGAGTATTAAATGATGATTATAGAAAATTTAGAACATATGGAAATAGTTTCAAAAAGAAAGCATACTCCCACCATAAAAAACAACCTTGTTAACATTTTGACATATTGCTATTGTCTTTTTCTCCAGCAAAGAAAAAAATCCTATTACAATAGTAACATTCTCATTATGCACAATTTAAAAAGCATGTAAATGTAAAAAAGAAAAGAAAAATGACACACTCTATTTCTGTGCGGGCATGACTATTGTTAACTTTTAAAGTATGGCCTTCCCGCTATAGATGGATACGTTTTGGAAATTGCTGTGTCTACTCTGATGCACACCTAATGGGATTCTGCCATGAGATCAATGAAAGAGGGAGTGGAAGAAAAGTGGCAAAATTATCAAAGTCACAGATATGAAGCTAGGCTCCACAAAATCTGTCAATGAGGCAGACCTGTATCCTAAGAATGGAGAACAGATATGAGGAGTGATGTTTGCTTTGTGAAATTCACTGCAATCAATAAGCTTTTCCCAGGAATTTGAGAATTTATTAGTCTCTTTGCTTTTTTTGTAGCAGAAAGGTCAAAAGGCAACCTTGTTTGCAGGTAGTAAAGCCTTAAATAGAAGAGGAACATTAACACGCAGGAAAGCTGTTATGCCTATTGTTAAGGGTTATATTATTTTTTTTACCCCCCCAAAATGGAGAGTTTCTATTTGTTTATTTTAACAGCTTTGGTTTCTGCTACATCAAAGTAACACATGTTCATTGCAGAAAACTTTGAAAATATGGACAAGTGAAAGGAGTAAATTTAAGAACATTCATAATCCATTGGCCAGAGAGAACACTGTTAAAAGTTTGGATGTATATCACATCCTTCTAAACTTTTGCTTTGTATGGTTTCTTAAAAAATAAAATTGGGCTTGACGTACATGTTATGACATAATTTGCATTATTCATCTGAGGAGGCATATCTTTCTGAGTTGTCGAATATTCTTCTCCAACATTAGCTTTAATATTTGCATAGCATTCTATTTCATAGACAGAATATACTTTACCCTGTTGCTTGGTCACTTCCGTTTTTTTCCAGTTTCGCACAATTGTAAAAATGCCCTTGAATCTATTTTTTTTTTTTTTGCAAATTTATGATTATCTCCTTGGGATTAATTTCTCAAAATTAAATTACTAGGTTAAAAAAATGCGTATTTTAAAACACTTTGATTTTAAATACACATTGCCAAAATCCCCCCAAAGAGATGAATGCTCCCCTTAGGAAAGGAAGAGTGTCTGTTTCCCTGCCCTGTTCATTTCTTCCTAATCTTTGTCAATTTGGTAAAGTGGAAAGTATCCTCTCATTGCTGTTTTAATTTGCATTTGATTACTAAGCAGTTTGAACGTTTTTAGGTCTTTCGGTCATTTTCATTCCTGTTTCCTTTTGTGACTTTGTTTTTCCTATCCTTAGCCCACTTTTCTTATTGGGATGTTTTTGTTTTCTCTAATTAATTTATAAAAAACTTATTAGCTATCGAGGATATGAACATATCTAAATAATTATCAGGAAGATTTTTCCTAATTTGTCATTTGCCTTTTCTATGCATGTTACAGAAGTTTTTTTGTCATGTGGCCAATCTTATCTTGTGATGTTCTGATGTTGAAAGGATTATGTAAATTATATAACCTTCCTAATTTTTCTACTAGAGCCTTTATAATTTTGTTTTAGCAAATAACTCATTAATCCACTTACACTTACTGTAGTGTTTAACACGAGGAGGCGCTTTAAATTTCCGTCTCTGGGGGACTTGTGTATTGTTCCCATGCATTTATGTCCCCATTAATTTGAAATGTCGCCTTTATTAAGTTTCAGTTCTCATATATATCCAGGTCTGTTTCTGGCCTCTTTTTTCTCCAAGGATTTGTCTGCCTATTTCTATGCTAGTATAACACTGGCTTCACAGATGTAGATTTTTCATTCAGTTTTAATATCTGTTAAGATAAATGCCTCCTTAGTACTTTTGAAGTATTAACAAAACTTTCTGGCTCTTACACTGTTGTCGCTTTATAAATAGATAAACATAGAAATTGTGTTTGTTGACATATACAAATTAAAATTCCTTCTGGGATTTTGAATATAGTCGCATTACATTTTAAATTAATTTGGACCTTAGTTTAGCATTTTACAAAAATTTTGCAAAAACCATTTTAAATGGGCATGTTGTAGCTCTGTGCTTATTCAACTCTGCAACAGTTGTTTTATGTCACTTAGTAAAGTTTGAGGTGACTCTTCTACTAGAAGAGGCAGCCACATTTGACCTGATGAAGCCACTTTAGGTTGAGGTCTGTTATTTAGACAAGAAATATTTGTAAAAGTGAGTGCTGCACTGAATATAAAGGGAATCAAGTGTGTATATGTAGGCCTAATCACCTTACAAAAACCCTCCCCTATCATGGTGTAGGAGGGGAGGTGGTGCTATTGCAGACACAGAAACCAAGGCGCCATCTTGGTGCCTGGGCATGGTTCACATAGCAGGCAGAGATTGGACTGTTGTCGGAATCAGGGCCTCCTGTCTCAGCTTTCCTTTGGTCTCTAATTTTGTGCCTTTCACAAAGGGGAAAGGTCCCCGACCCCATTTCGTTGATGCTAAAGCCAATGTTAAAGGAGGAGACTTTGCCTGAGTGTATGAATATAATCCACTCCCAATGTTTAACCCTGCATCCTATTCTATAATAGTGAGTTAGCCCAATTTTTTCCTCATTTTCATCTTCAAGTTTTATGTGAGATTCTTCCAAGACTTTATCTTCCTTTCCAATTCTTTTGATTCATGTTACTTGAGGAAAGACAGAGATGTGCTCAGATGCTTCCTTCTGCATAGCTCTTTAAATCAGGACTTACCTAAGGATAAGCAGTTTTTAGATAAAGCTCTTTATCTGAACTCTTTGGTTTTTCTATACAAAACATCATATTGGAGTTATGCTATATGATTGCTTTATAGATACAATTGTGTGACCATAGGGCAAAGTATATCTTTATAGTGAGAGGGGAGAAATGGGGATGGAGTCTTACACAGGTCATCAAAACAGTTGACCTTCAATTCACCTTGTACTTGGTCTTTGAACCGTAAGCCACACTCATGTCCTCACTTTCAAAATTTACTTTGTGGAGTAGCTGGGTCACTGAAGATACGAAGCAGAAGTTTGCACTCCCAGCCTTGACCATTAGGTTCCAGTACTTCTTGTACCAAGTTATGTGACAGTTCAGAATTCTGGAGAATGTGCTAAAATAAGTCTCTGGAACTTGACCTTATTCCACAAGATGCTGTATCTGACAATTTTACCCTTGTGAACTCTAGTTTACCCCTTACTTGAGCTAGTTGAACATAGAAGATAAAATTATCTTCTTGTATGATGTAACTTGGTAGAGTATCTGACATTAAGAGGTAGGGCATTTCATTGTGGAAATTGCCTTTATTTTTCTTGGAAATTACAACACTTAGCTTTTGGCTTCCTTTAAGTAATTTTGTTGTTAATATTGGTGTTTTTTCTGCACATTACATCAGAGGGGTCTGACTTGCAGCTTCATTTCCCAGGAGCTCTGAAAGTAGAGAGAGAGGGAGGTAATCTAGATGTTAATAAACATTTACATTTAATGAGGCAGTGGCCCATAGAGATGGCACTCTCAGAGATCAAACCTCTGGAGCCCTGAGAATTGCCAGGGAAGCATAGCGCTCCCAGACAGGACTTCTTTTTAGGGTAAAAAAGCAGTTTCCATTCTTGAGTAGATTTGATGATTTTTCAGATGTTGGTCTAAGTGTTCTTTGTCAAGCTTCTACTCATGAACAGAGACCTATCATAGTATTACCTCCTGCTGCTGCCTTCCTGACTCCCTGGCAGAAGAGCACTCTGCCTGCTGAGTCTCCCTAGCACTGTGTACATTCCTCCAGTAGGGCTGTTACCCTAATCATTGTTTTGTTCGTATGTTTCCCCCACAGGGCAGGGCAGGGATGCTGTCACATTCAATTTGTTTTAATTCCTAGAATCTAGGACAGTGTCTGGAGTGAATGAGTAATTTCTCGATGAATGTGTATAGGTTGTGTGTCCTGAAGAAAGAACTTAACTCCTCAGTTTGTCCCTTCCTAAGAGGATTGTGCCTTTGCTTTCCAGTCATGTCATCAAGTCCCACTGTTGGATCTTCTAGCACGTCCTCCATCCTCCCATTTTCCTCTTCAGTTTTTCCTGCTGTCAAACAGAAGAGTGCCTTTGCCCCTGTCATCAGGCCACAAGGCTCCCCTTCACCTGCCTGCTCCAGTGGCAATGGAAATGGATTCAGAGGTAAGCAAAGGTCCCGCTTTGGTACCACCATGATAAATGAGCCACAGGGCCAGCAAAGTAAGAGCAAACAGCACAGCATCACTCCCTATCTCTAGCCATTTACTTACAAGGAGATGCTTTGGCGTTCCCATCATGGGACACAGATGGCTTGTAGAACTGAGCTAGTACATCACCTGAGAACAAGATGGGGGAAAACAGAGAAATCGGACAGCTCTTCAAGATCATAGAATTAACTATGGTAGAGCATTATATACCCTCCAGGAGTGTCTGGACTTCCCAGACCTTTGCTTTCCACAGGGCCATGTCAAGATTTCCCAGAAGGTGCCGAGTCACATCAGATACCACATGGTGATTGCTGCTTATCTGACGGGCTTGCCCATCTGCAGTACATACCTATTCCCATGGCATACATGGACAGAATCCATCAGGAGCAACCAGCACATTGGGAGAATTCTGGTTACATGCCAGTCAGATTGATAGCAGGTGTCGGATCAGGGGTGGAGCAGGGAAGAAAGAAGAAAAAGACATACACTGTCTAAGTACAAAAATTAATATCACCCATCAAACCCATTTTTGAGCAATGCCTGAAAATATAGTATGACACAATATAACACAAATGTGATAAGTACATGAGAATCTAATCATTTCACTGTGAATGGGAGGCAGCTGATGGCAAAAGAGCAAATTGGAGCCTGCTGAACACTATGGATCCCGACGACCCACATTATTGTTAGGCTCTTCTTTGAGTCTTGACATGAAAACATTCATGACAAGCAAGTGTTGGATAAAACCAAGCAGGGCAGAGGTTGGTTAACCCCTCATGGATCAAAGCCTCTGAGGTCAGCAGAGCCTCCGATGAGCTGTGCCATCCCTGGGATGGCATCTGCCTAGTAGCTTTACGATTGTGCATAGACTCTTGATCCTCTGGGTCACCTGTGAGGGTTCATCTGCCAGTTGTGGCTGAGCAGAGCTCTGGGAGGTATGGTAGGTTCCTGTCCCATTCTACCATAAGAGACAGGGGTGTCTCCTCAAAGTCAGGTGACTTGAGAGAGAAACTGTGAAATGGGAACTGAAAAGCCAGCACTCAGAAGAGTCCCTGAAAGTTCTTTTACTTCCATCTAGACAAAGCAGCTGGGTAACATGCTACCCAATGTGTGAGTAGTTGGAAACATCTGTCTATTTGAGGGGGAAGAATTTCACTTTCATCTAGATGTCTGATCCTTAGAGAAACAGGCTCAGCCTGTAGCTCAGTGTCGCCACCTGCCCCAGATCTCCTCAAGGACCATTGGTTTCCATCGCATCCCTGAGAGATATGCTCATAACTTTTTTTATGAGTGGCTTCATCTCCAGACTGGAAAATGTATGCAAATGTTAAGTATTTGCTGTATCTTTCCCTTCTGCATGCCCGCTTCAGTGACGATGTCTCCCCTTTCTAAGTTCTGTGGTTTTAGTCACGTCCCTTAACAAAGTGGGGGCCCCACAGGTCTCGTTGGGGAAATGCAGAGTGGGGGGCACCACAAAAGGCTAAGAGGGAATGCAGGTGTAGGCGGAAGTTGGGAGGGATTCCTTGTTCCAGGCAACCCTAGCCAACATTTTCAGCTTCACTTTGAGGAGAAAAAGTATAACTTGACTTCCACTTACCACCCCTCCCTCACCTCCTCTCTCACTCAGTTGGGGAAGTTGAGCTGGTTGTTTCAGATCTTCTGGGTCTATACTGTCCAGAGAGACTCACGTGTGGGGCCTCCTGGCTTTTGCCCTGGGAGATGCCAGGACAAATTTTTCACTGGCTCCCATGGCCTGGAATCCCTACCCTGCCTGTTGCTGCATGCCCAAGTCTTGCTGTGGTATTACCAGCTCAGGGTTGAGTTGGCCCAAAGAGCTGGAAGGGTCTTTGTGGTCACAGTGAGGTTTCTCTGCGGGGGCAGCAGTAGCCAAAATAGCCATAAGACCCTCTCTAGGGTCCTTGGCCATGTGAGCTCCTGATCAGCATAGGTCAGAATAAAGAGGCTGAGGAAGTATCTGTGGGAGTGACGATGTCATCAGTTACACATAGGCTCTGGGATCTAGTCTCATTTCTATAGAATCACTGAGAAGTCCTGAGCCTCTTTTGGATCCTACAATTCCCTCTAAATTTCTCTGGTGATTTGAACCTTAAGAAGAAGAAGGAAGACAGGGAAAGGAGGGGGAGGATGGGGGCAGCGCCTAAATTAGGAGTGCAGGCTGCCACCTTTCCTCATTTTGCATCAGGTGGCTAGAAGCTCCAGGTCCAATGCTACAAGGTGTCCCACTGATGCATAGAGGGACAAAAACGAGCTGACATCAAATGCTCTCTCCAGCCATAGTCACTGAGTGAAGGAATCCTGGGATTGCAGGGGTGATCAGCACAAAGCTTCACCTCTTTAGAGACAGACAGTGGGAGAGTAAAAGTGTGGTCTGAAGTGCTGGGGTGATCACAGGCTGATGGAGAGGTTCTTCTCTCGATTTCTAAGGTGAGATGGTCTCAATCATCTACAGAGGCCACATGCCACCAACCCGCTCTGAGACTTGCTGGTTTTGAGTGCCACGTGCAAGATGCCGAACCAAGCGCTTTACATGAATGATCTTGCTCAAGCCTCACATGTGACCGAAAGGGGAAAGTCATGCCGTTATCATCATTTTTAGTGAGGTCGTTTTCCCAAGGCCACACAGTAAGATGACCTCAGACATTTTGACTCCAGAGCCTGTGCTGTGACAGCCCACTACCTCTCCAAGGACAAGAGCAGTGCAGTTCCTCTCCTCACCCCTCACCCATACCTGCTTTTCACCTGGACCAAAGGGGGGTTATTGCCTTCCCGTGAAATGCCAAAGGTAGAAAGGAATTGGACAAAGTGCGGTTCAGCATGCTTCCCTTCCCCACCAGTGAACATGTTTACTTTTTCTCCAGTTAACTTCTGCTTTCTGTCTGTTGGCTCTGGTTTCTACAAGCAAAAAGTCAGGGTCACCATGTAGCAGAGATCCAGCCCACCTAGTGCCTGATGTGAGAGTAGAAAGAAGGAAAATATGTGAAATCTGCTGGTCTTCTGGCACGCACTGGATCTTCTTCTTTGAGCGGCTCTGCCCTTTTAATAAGCTCCTTAGGTAACTCTCTGAGGACCCAGAAAAAAGAAGGGGCTGATGAGTTTTAAGTGTAATAGACAAGTTAAAGTTGAAAATGTGAACCAGAATCCTACCACCAGAGAGCTGTATGTGCAGTGTTCACTGTCCCACCTTCTACCTCATTTATCAGGCATTTTGCAGTGATGAGTATAGATTGTGGAGATAATATTATGCACTATGTGCCTGATTCATTTTCCAGCTCCCTCCAGGAGAAGAAATATATAAAACAAACAAACAAAAAAACCCTCCTACACTCTGGGATAATTACCAGGGTTGCTATGTCTCCAAATCATCGGGGAGTGTCCAGAATTGAACTGCCTTTATTGAAAAGTTACATCGATTCAATATAGAGTAATACAGGCAAAAATAATTAAGGCTTTGCTAGCTGTGTAAGACCTTAATCCAGATCTCACAAACATTCAATAAAGGCTGTATGGGCAGGGAACTAGAGGGCTGACAATTTTGCCTGAGAAGACTTAGCTGGCATGGAGAGAAGGGGCGGAGGGAGGGGAGAGGGGAAGAAGAGGAGCAGGGGGAGGAGTAAGAAGTGGGGTTGGGGCAAGCAGGAAGAATTTTGGCCATTTGCTTATCAGCTTAGTAAGCACCACGCAGCGAAATGCTTCTATGATAATTGATAAGCTCTAGATGAGCCAGAGACAATAAAACTCAAGGGATCAAATACTAGACATGGTTTGAAGTTTTGACGAAAGGAAACTACTCGGCCGATTTCCAAGAATGTGGAAATTCTATGGGTTCCTCACCTGAAAGCCAAGGTCAGAGGGGTGCATTTTGCTGTGTGATTTTTTTCCCCTTTGTGCTGATGCTGCTCTGGGGAGGCCTTGGACCCGATGCCCCCCACAGGTATTGTCTGTGTCCTCTTCACTAGATGGAGGAGACATTGGGCACTACCAGGGGATGGAAGGGGTGAAGAGTGGAGATTGGGTGACTCCCAAATTAGGAACTAAATTAAGTCTTCTATTCCAGTGGATCATCATTCATTAGTGAACAAGCATTACATATCAGCAGTGAAAGCCAAAGGAAGATGAGCTAGTTAGGGGAAGAAAAAAAAAAAAAAGCTCATCACATTTCAGCTAGAATGGATAGAAACCTAGGGTGCATAGAAAGCCTTGTTTGTTATAAATGATGCATGGAAAGTTACTCAATGGCTCACAACCTGGAGTTTTCTTTCCTGTTTCAACTAAGTGATTTGAAACCGTATAATCTAGAAATTGATAGTCTAATGATGAAAAATAAATATATTGCAAATACATTAAAACTTAGCTCACGTGTTTATGTCTATCATGTCAAGTATACAACCCATTAATATAAAACAAGACAAAACATAGCTCTTGGCCTCCCCACAAAACTTCAACAAGCCTTGTTTATATTGCAGTGATTCTGTAAGGCTTCCGTGTCGCTGACAGGCTGTGTGCTAGATCAAACCTGGAGAAAATGGGTTCCCACATCAGCTGATGCACCATTTCCCTGGGTTGTACCAGACTCTGACAGTCCCCAGCGCTGCCCCTCTCTCTGGGTTGGAGACATAAGTGTAAACATCTCTGAGTCTCATTCCTATACCACTCTTTCCTTGCAGCCATGACCGGACTTGTCGTGCCCCCAATGTAAAGAAGAGGAAGAACTGCTTTCTTATAGCACAAAACTACTTATCCTGATGGACCAATAATGAAGAAAGCACTAGGAGCTCTTTGGGGAGAATTGTGCCCCAGAATGAACATGACGGACAGATTTGGGTATGCAAGGAGCTGCATTTTACCTGGTCTCATGTTTCTCATCTAGCTCTCATGGTGGCTACACAAACTGACCCTCTTGGGGACAAGGACAAAAGATGTCATTGACGTAGTCAGTGCTAAGAGCAGAAATGCAATTCTTTGTTATGAACATTATGAGAACCACCTTCCTATGTTTGTAAAATATTTAAGAAAAAATTGGCAAACAATTCATGCTTAATATTTTGGATACTATTTGTTTTTCTTTGTAGGAAAAAAAAAAGTTGAAAGTTTCTATTTTCTATGAAGCCTTTCAGATACCAATTTAGTTTATGCAGAAAAAAAAAATTGAACAAAACAGGGTACCAGCATGGAAGACTTTCTTAAACGAAACCTGAATTGAATGAAGAAATATTGTTGTATGTGTGTTTGCTTATAGTTTAATCTCTTTAAAAAACAACAACAAAAAAAAAAAACAAAAAAAGGGAAAAATTTTAAAATGTTTTACAATTATTTAAATAAATAAACGTGTAACTTATTGTAAGTAGAGGTAGAAATTAAGACCTTTTCGGAAGAGAGAGGAATTTCTCTTCCTGATGTAAAATGAAAATGATGCAAACCAGTAGTAACAAGTTTAAAAGGTGTGTGATTATTACTGCAGTTACTTACTAGACTTCTATCCCCCATCCTGCATCCCCCTCTTTTTTCCATCATTTTATTGACCCAAGAACATGTACCTTATATAGATTCCTATAGAACAGCCCGATGCAGAAACAGTGATTCAGTCCATGCACGTACACAAATACTCAAACTCATCAATTCATTCCCAGCTCCGTCCACTTTCTAAATAGTCTACATGTCCCTTTTGGTATTCACTCTTTGTGACTTTTAAAAAAAATTTATATTAGCCTTCAGCCTTCTCCTCCAAGCAGTGCAGAGAATTCCCATGTTGTAGTGTGTCCCAGGCTTTGCATCCTGGGTGGAGACACGTGTCTCACCTAAAAGAAGAGCCAAAGCCGGTGACTTTCCCAACCGAGGGGCCCCTTTGGAATTCTCCCTTGACAGAGCCACACGTGCCCTCCTCTTTTGTGACCTGGTTGAGCACAGAGGTGTGAGCCCCACAGAACTTCAGAGACAGGATTTAAGGAAGATGATCCTGTTTCTTGGACTCTTAAGCATGAATCTTAGAATGTCCACATCCTTTCTTCTCTTTGCAGATTTCCCCTCTCCTGGCATTCAACTCTCTTGAAAAAAATATGTATCTTCCTTAACACAGTTTCCAGGCAAGAATGGGATGGTGTGTGGAAGAGGAATGTTAAAAGCCCTAAAACCCTCTCCTAATATTCAGAAAGATGGAAACCCAGATTCTTAGCAGGGTTAGCGATTAGGCGCATCTGTGTTCCAAGCAGCACAGTGATCCAGGGTTGCAGTGGGCTCTCTATACTTCTGGAACCAGCTCTTAGGCAGAGAAATGTTGCAGGAGCTGCTAAGAGTGGCTGAGTCTTGAAAGTCTGTGTGATCCTGAAGATGTATCCAGACTTATTTGGATTTCCAATAAGGATGCCATTTTTTTCATAGTTGGATGTACAATAAGGGTTCTCCTTGTTGACTCATTGGTACCATAGTACAGTCCATATACAGATTTCAGTTTGGGGTTCTAACAGTAGAAGTTGTTGCAGGTCTCATGGAAAAACATCTTTAGTGCATCTGAGCCAATTTTAGATGACTTCACAAATCCCACCTTCCTTCTGTTTGTCCCATTGATACCTGCCCACAGCTATCCAGCCCCCAACAGTCTCATTTGCCTTCAACTATTCTGGAATTACTCAATATGACCCAAATATTTTTTCTATGTACACAAGAATCCAAGGTTTGGGAAACCTGGCATGCTTATAATTACTGCTGTCAGTCCTTTGTGGTCAGGTCTTATAGCACCAAAACACAGGAAACACACGAGAGAAAGTTCCCCCGTGAAAAATCCGATCAAAGGGGAAGCATGTGCAGAATACGAACATCACCATCCCAAAGTGGAGGCGGAACAAAACTAAGCATGTTTAGACCTGGATTCAAGCCAATCCAACATAAGGAAATGTTTTTTTAAGTAGCATTGCTTTTAGAATCTGTGAATTTTGCTCTTGCATGAAGATGAGTGCAGTACTGTCTTCAAACTGAGTGTAGAATTTGTTGGTAGCTTTACACCGAAAAATGTGTGTAACTAAATACCAGACATCCTTGACCATTCAGCTAGAACCTTGGCAGCAACAGATCTATTTAATTGTACAAATGTGTGTAAGGATTATTTTTAGTGTACTAATAAATTAAAAACAAAGCTACTCTGTCCTCTTCAGTCTTGCTGTTGAATCATTCCGGTCCCAGGTTATTTTTGTGCCACTTGAAATACGAGTATTTCTATAGGTAACTACAAATTCTATCCTATCTTTGTAAGAGGAGCTGTGTAAGATTTTCCATTTAAAAGGACAATTTACTTCATTATTTATCTCATTTTTTGTTATAACATCATATTTTTTTTCCAGTTTTTCTTTGCACATTTCAATATGCATGGTTTAAAAACCATTATCTTCTCTACCTTTTGTACAGTAAGGTCTCATTTTCAAACTGTATAGTTTCATTTTATCATTTTGCTTTGTCAGTTATATACAGTATAAAGTTGCTATGCACAGAGCTTTTTGTAAAGACAGCTTTTTTGTTTACTGTTTTTAATGGTCTTACTTATTAAAGAATATCTTGTTTGTAAAATGAATATGTCTACTTCAGTTTTAAACTTTAAATTATCCTAACGAAAAATAAAATTTTTGTACTGTAAAAATGATTGGAACTTTGCCTTTTTTTTTCCTGAAGTGAAAAAAATTAGTTTGGGATTTGTTCTTAAGTTTGGGGATTTTCTCATAACTGCTAGTCCCTGAGCTCTGGTTGAGGAAATCTTACTACAGCTTTTGCTTACATGGAAAGTGTTCTGAGGTGCTCACTTGGAGGAAAGAATATGTTTGACTTTAGGTCTTTTTTCTATATGTATTTACCTATATATCCATCTGGTCAAATTCCTTCATAAAAACTCAAAAAGATCCTACTTCCTAGGTTGGTCTTTGGCTGTATGGAATTCTTGAGGTAGGTGGGTAGTCTACTCAGGTTTGAAACTGCATGTTGAAAAAATGTTTGAATTGATCCATCAGATGATGAAGAATTGGAGGCTGGACTCAAGGGCTCAAGGCCAATCTTAGATCACAGGAAGAGAGCAAGATGCAAATCCCTAGAAGGGAAAGATCCATAGGCAATGGCTCATACAGAAAGATAGAAGGGCTGCAGTAGCTCGGAGAATTCAACTATCACAGAGGATTGGAGTGGTCAGAGAAGGTTCCATGGGGGAGGCAGGGCTGGACAGGCCTTCTAAGAATGGTAGGAATTTTGTGGCAGACGTTGGTAGCGAGCACTGCAGATGGGAAGGCCATCACGAACAAAGTCCTGTAAAAAGAAATTCACGAAGCACATTTAGGTGAATGTGATGCTAAATGTCATTTTCCAGCAGACTGTTCACAAGCACACACATGATTGGATTATCTCAGTTCTCTCTACAAGGGTATAGTTATCTTGAAAACACATAAATTGTGTCCCTTGCATGAGTGGATGAGATGCTCTTTCTGAGCACTACTCTGAGAAAGCCCCCACTGCTGTTTTGCTTTTCTCTGTGAGGAATAGCCCTCTGCCTACACAGTGCTCGCCCTTCTCATGGGAAGGGGCTTGCTCTTTGCAGCCTGATGTCTTCTCATCCTTCAGGCCTGGGTTCAAGTATCTTCTACTCATGGAGGCCTTGGCTGACCTCTGACCATGCAAGTGTCCCACTTACTCTCTTTACCTTAACTCTGCTTGTGTCCTCATCACAATTTGTATTCACTTGTTGTGTATTTTAGACTGAAGGCTCATAAGCACAAGGGCCTCATCACTCTCAGGACTTCCTGTGGAGCACCAAGTTCAGTGCTGGAGGTGCCTAACAGATACCTGTTAAATTGGTGAATGAGCACATTGGATTCTGAGCCCCAGAGACGGCTCTGCCTTGTCGTGTGGGAGAGGTAGCCAATCTGTCACAAATGAGAGGAAATAGCACCACTTGGAGAGTCCACTCCTTAGGGGCTATCTCGTCAGTCAACTAATCAAAAAAAGTGATGAAGTGCGTCTATAATGTAAAGTGGCTGGTTGCTTAATAAACATAGAAATCTCAAAACGGGAGGAAGTGAGGAAGCAGAAGCCTCCGGCTGGTAGCCTATTGGGTCAGTTGTTTTGCCCCTTGGCCCTGGAACTTATCCCATGTGGATTTTCATGATGTTCAGATGTAATTCCAGAACCAGAACCAGGGCCTGTTAGGGAAATGTGCATTTCATTCCCGTTCCATATATGACACTTGACTTGTCGACCACACACTTGAATTGCAAGGAGCTTAGAGTGCCTTCACCAAACTGCAAGTTCACGGTGGCTGTAGGGCAGTGAATGTGAGAGAGTGAATATGAGACTTTACAGATGAGGTAGAAGCAAGGTCCTAAAGGATCTTGCTCACCATGCCAGAGTTTAGACTGCATCCCCAGGACTATGCAGCAGGTAATGGGAAACTTCCAGGAACCTGAGTCAAGGAGTGACACGATACACTTTATGCTGTAGAAAAATCACAGTAGCTACAATGTGGATTATGGATTGAAGCAAGTGGATATTGGAGGCAAGGAGACCAAGCAGACAAGGGACAAAAGACAGCTGATAAGCACCAGTGTGCAGTACCAGTGTCTACGACAGACACCCATTTTGACTGGTCAGCACTTGTGCATGCCAGCCAAGAAGTGTTTTTAAGTGACTCCTGCAATTAGGACAGTGTTATAATAAACCCGATAAGAGTGACTCATACCTGACCTAAGGATTGCCAGTAGAGATGGAAAGTAGTGGAAAGATTTGAGAGAAAGACTTGCAGTTTGACACGCCTTTACTGACTGATTAGATGTGGGAATGAGGGAGAAGACGGGGCTAGTATAAGTCCCAGTCTGTTAGACAATTGGATTCTGTGTTAATATTTACTGAAGTTGGGAATAAAGAGGAATGTATTGTGGGGAATGGAGAGATATCATGATTATAAATTGGGGCACAAACTGCTCTGGTTCCTTTTTTTTTTTTGGTTAGCCAAAGATTGTTTTCCCACAGTTTATTTAAGGACTCTGGAGAATTACACTCTTTGGTACATGCATATTTAAAAAAAAAAACTGACGGCTCTATTTCTACTTGAATGGCTGTTCGGTTGGGTATAAAATTTCTGGAGTTACACTTTCTTTCTCTGAGAACTTCATACGAGAGGTGTTTTGTAAAACAAGCTCCCAGGACTGAATGTTGCCATGATGATGTCTGAAGTCATCCCTCTGCTTCTCATACCTCTCTTTTATTCCCCTTATATAAGCAAGGAAGTCCTGTCATTTGTTGTGGAAGTCATGACACT